GGGGGTCGAACCGGTAGTGACCCCCCCCCGTTTTCGGTTTTCGAGGGGGGGGGGGAGGCGGAGGCGAACCGGTAGTGACCCCCCCACTTTTCATCATGATGGACTGGGGGGGGGAGGGGTTCGAACCGGTAGTGACCCCCCCTGGTTTTCCGGAGGGGGGGGAGGGGGAGGGGTTCGAACCGGTAGTGACCCCCCCGGTTTTTCGCCAGCAGCGGTAGAACCCGCTCTTTCCATCATCATGATCAACTTCATCATCAGCATCAGTAGCATCAGCAGCATCCTCATCAGCATCAGCATCAACATCAGCATCATAATCACCAGCGTCATCAGCATACTCAGCATCAGCATCGACATCAGCATCATCAGCATACTCAGCATCAGCATCATCATCAGCATCATCAGCATCAGCATCATCAGCATTAGCATCAGCAGCATCAGCATCAGCCTCATCACCATCATCAGGAGCCGCATCATCACCATCATGATCAGCATCATCATCACCACCAGAACCACTAACACAACCACCAGCATCACCATCATCAGCATCATCATCAGCAGCAGCACCGTCACAACAAGCATCATCATCGTCATCAGCATCATCATCAGAATCATCGTCAGCATCACCATCAGCATCCCAGTCAGCATCTGCATCATCGTCATCATCAGCATCATCAGCATCAGGTTCAACAGCATCAGCAACAGCATCAATATCATCAGCATCAGCAGCCTCAGCATCAGCATCAGCATCAGCATCATCATAATCAACATAATCATAATCAACATCATCATCGGCGTCATCATGATCAGCATCATCATCAGCAGCATCATCAGAGCATCATCATCAGCATCAGCGTCATCATCATCAGCATCAGCATCATCAGCAGCATCAGCATCATCAGCAGCAACATCATCATCATCAGCGGCAACATCGTCTTCAACAGCATCATCATCATCATCATCATCATCATCATCATCATCATCATCATCATCATCATCATCCGCAGCAGCAGCATTACCGCCACCACCACCGAAACCATCATCATCATCCTCATCATCATCACCATCAGCATCAGCATCAGCATCATCGCCATCAAAATCGCCAGCATCTGCAACATCCTCATCATCATCATCGTCAGCATCATCATCATCATCATCATCATCATCAGAACCAGCATCATCATCATCATCATCGTCGGCATAGTCATCAGCATCATCAGTATCATCACCACCACCACTACCATCATCATCAGCATCAAAAGCATCATCATCACCATCATCAGCAGCAACATCATCATCCATCAGCATCAGCAGCACAATCATCGGTATCGTTATCTTGGATTAGTCCCTCACATTCCGTGTTGTCCGTCTCGTGATCCTTCTCCTCGTCGTCCGACTCATTCTCCTCCTCCTACTCCTCCTCCTCGTCCTACTCCTCCTCCTCCTCCTCCTCCTCCTCCTCGTCCTTCTCGTCCTCCTCCTCCTCCTCCTCTTCCACCTTCTTCTCCTCCTCCTCCTCCTCATCCTCCTCATCCGTGTCCCCGCCTCCTGTTCCTTCTCCTCATCGTCCTCGCCCTTCTCCTCATCCTCCTCGTCCTCCTCCTCCTCGTCCTTGCCACCAGGACTGCGGGCGTAGGTAGCCAGTCCAACGAAATCCCTCTGTCCTCTTCCAAAAACCATCTTCCCTTTGGGGAGGGCTCCCCTTACCCTCTCCGTCCCTTCCGTACGTTTGTGGGTTCGCGAGGGGTAGAGCGTCCAAGATCGCCCAAGATGGCTCCAAGTGGACGCACGATGCTCCAAGATTGCTCTAGATAGCCGAAGATGGTTTGATATAGCTTTCGGTATGCATCCACGAGGACCTAAGAGGACCGCCAGACGGCTCCAACTGCTCTCAGGGCCACCACCAGGACCCCCCCTCCGACCAGAAGGCCAAAATCCGCCAACGCACATTCACAGCGTCAATGATGTGTGCCGTCTCGCCGTGTCGCTTCCGATACGCGGATGCGGTCTCAAGATGGCCCCAACATGGCCATAGAGGGCCCTAAGAGAAGCCCAAGAGCCGAATAGGCCCCCAAGACGGCCCCAAGAGCGCCCAACATCAGCCAAAGAGCGCCCCGAAAGCGCCTCAGGAGGCGATCGTGCGGGCCCCAGAGGGGGGGCGGAAATCAGGACCCCCCCTCTGCTGATCGATGGCGTCCAAGATTGCCCCAAGGCCCTCCAAGGCTCCCACGACGGCCCCGCGAGGGCCCCAAGACCCGCCAAAGGGGACCCACGAGGGCCTCAAAAGCCTCCAAGAACGGAGGGCCCCGAGAAAGCCACAAGAGGACACCAAAAAGGCCTCAGGAAGGGCCTAGATGGCTGCCAGAGTCCTTGGTCTCGTCCTCGTCGTCGTCGTCGTCCTCCTCCTCCTCCTCCTCATCCTCCTCATCGTCCTGCTCCTACTCCTCCTCCTCCTCCACCTCCTCCTCATCCTCCTCATCATCAGCAGCATCACCATCACCATCACCATCACCATCACCATCACCATCACCATCATCATCATCATCATCATCATCATCATCATCATCATCATCAGCAGCAGCAACAGCAGCAGCATCAGCATCAACATCAGCATCATCATCATCATCAGCAGCATCCTCAACATTAGCAGCATCGTCTTCATGAGCATCAGCATCACCATCATCATCATCATCATCATCATCAGCATCATCATCATCATCATCATCATCATCATCATCATCATCATCATCATCATAAGCATCATCAGCATCAGCTTCACCATCACCATCATCATCAGCATCAGCATCAGGCATCAGGGTCAGCATCATCAGCATCAGCATCAGCATCATCATCAAGTATCACCATCATCAGCAGCAGCCGAATCAATATCAGCATCAGCCACATCAGCAGCAGCAGCAGCATCAGCATCTGGATCATCCTCAGCATCGGCATCAGCATCAGCATCAACAGCACCCTCATCAGCATCATCAGCATCATCAACAGCATCATCAGTATCACCATCATCACCACCACCACCACCATCATCATCCTCATCAGCATCATCATCATAAGCACCGGCATCAGCAACATCATCAGCAGCATCGTCAGCATCGACATCATCATCACCAGCAGCATCAACAGCATCGTCATAAGCAGCATCATCACCATCATCATCAGCAGCATCACCGTCATCACCATCATCAACGTCATCAGTATCATCATCGCCAGCATCGCATAAGCATCAGCATCATCATCGAAAGCAGCAGCATCATCAGCATTATCATCATATGCATCATCATCAGCAGCAGCAGTGTCATCATCATTATCGTCGTCATCATGATCATCAGCGGCAGCGTCATCATCGTCAGCAGTAGCATCAGCATCATCGGCATCAGCATCAGCATCAGCGTCAGCATCAGCGTCAGCATCAGCATCATCAGCTTGGGTGGTCAGGTCTGCAGAACGCCCGAAACGGACGTGGACGGCGCAACCAACCTGTTCGTTCAAGCTGAAATTGATGCACCACACCCGGCGTCGAGCCAAAACTTTGGATATACGCGACCGTTTGGAGTTTGCACATCTTCGTCGACTTAACCCGCGAGGCGGTTGATCGCCTTAACGTCCCATTGTTGGTGGTCCTGCAGAGGAAGGTGCTCTCTGACCCTCGGCCCGACTCAAATCATCATCAGCATCAGGATCATCATCATCAGCAGCAGCATCATCATCATCAGCATCATCCTTATAAGCAGCAGCAGCAGCAGAAGCATCGTCATCGTCATCGTCATCAGCATCATCAGCAGCAGTAGCAGCATCAGTATCATCATCAGCATCATCATCAGCAGCATCAGCAGTCTTATCTTCAGCAGCAGCAGAAACATCAGCATCAGCAGCAGCATCATCAGCAGCATGATCATCAGCAACTGCACCAGCATCAGCATGAGCATCAGCAGCAGCAGCATCAGCAGCATCATCATCACCATTATCATCATTTGCATCAGCATCAGCAGCATCATCACCATCATCATGTTCCTCCTCCGTCACCCCCTTGTCTTCCTCCTCCTCCTCGTCGCTCTCGTTGTCTTCAATATAACCCTCCTCTTCCTCATTGTCCTCTTCGACCTCCTCCACGTCCTCGTCGTCCTCTGCCTCCTCCTCCTCCTCCTCCTCCTCCTCCTCCTCCTCCTCATCGTCCCCGTGCTCGTCCTCATGCTTCTCCTCCTCCTCCTCCTCCTCCTACTCCTCCTCCTCCTCGTCCTCGTCTTCCTCCTCGTCCTCGTCCTCCTCCTCCTCCTCCTCCTCCTCCTGCTACTCCTCGTGCCTCTCTGGGCAGATGAGATGTTCCACTGCACGCTAATCTACGCTTCCCTTAAGAAGGCAGTCCGCAGGGACATCGCTTCAGGATCCCTCCCGCCCGTTTCTCATCGGCAGCGCTTCTGAATGGGCTGACAGGAATCACTTTTGGTCAACAGGCTCGCGAGGCGGGTCGAAAGCCGTCCGAACACTAGTCGGACCGCGACTAGGCAGCAGGAAAACAAAGGCAAGCGAAGCGAGCGAGCGCGCAGCCACTCAGAAGGAGAGCCGGAACCGATACTCCCAAACCCGGTGGCGTTGGAAATCCCGGTGGCGACCAGCAAGTAAGCGCAGCCAAAATGGCGCGGCGGCGCGACCATAAACACGCAGAGGTCGATCGCTCGGTGTGAGTCAGGCAAACAGCACCGTCAGAGCGAACTAGAGGCTGGCAGGAATACGCGAGGCGTGAAGAAATCGCTTTACTAAAATTCAACATGGGTGAAGAATTCGCTTTACTGGGTTTCTCATCGGCAGCGTCTCTGAGATTCAACAAGCTCTGCTTTCTGCCAATGCTGCCAGCTCTGAGGGGGAGGAGAACGGTACGCGCGCGCGACGATGGCACAGGCCGGTGCGGTGCTCAGGAAGGGGAAGGGGAGAGAACCGAGGGAATCGGAGGATGACTCGCTTCGCAGGGCCGCTACTAAGCGGCCGGCAACGATCAAGAAGTCCTTGAGGATGCCCGTCAGGGAGAAGACGAGCCCGCTGGCACACTGTATAGCGAGATAGATTACGACGTTGAGAAGGAAGGCCAAAAAAGCGTTGGCACCGAAGATCCACACGCCGATCTCGCCGATCTGCTGTGCATCAAACGCAGATCTGTCGAAGAGTAGGGCAGTACCAAGCAGAACTATGCAAACCATGGGTGCGAAGACCATCACTGAGGACAGCGCGTTCAGCCTGTACCCCTGCGACTTCAGACGCAGCTCCAGGAAGGTGATGCGCAGACCCTCACTCAGCAGGGCCGTTACTTGCATCACGAAGCCGAACAGATGAAAGTTCAGCTCGCCAATACTCGTGACTATCAGACCAAAGGTGATGACGCAGAGGCATTTCACGATCGGCATCGACCACTGCTGCGTGCCGAGCGCACAGCCACAGAGGTACACAGCACCAGGGGTGAAAGCCTTGATCATCTGGCAGAATGCGAGGCTCAGATACATGATGGCTGTGTTCCCACATACCAGGCTGATGCTCTGGCAAACCGCCACGGGCAGGCCCAGCCATATGGCCGAGAGGAACGTCAGCGGACGCAAATGCTTCTCTCTGTCACCCGTGTACACCACTGAAGGGAACGCCACACGTACGCTCAGAATGAGCACAACGCTGACAAACTGGTGCCAGCAGGTCAACAGGATGGGATGCCGGAAATGGCTCAGCAGCTCGGCGTTGAAAATGATCAGGCCCGCGCTGAGGGCAACCCAAACCGTAAGCACCGCCGCCACAGCAAATGGACCACGGGGCTCCATGGAGCGTCCCCGTGTCTCACGGGCCGGGATAGGCGGTGAGGGGGCTCAAGCATGGCTTGAGCTTGCACAAACGCCAGTCAGTGTCTCTGCTGCCAACTGCCTGCTGCTGCTGTACCTGAAGCTGCTGCCGTTGTCGTAGCTGTTTCTCTGCTGCTTCTTTCGCAGCTGCTGTTCCTGCTGGTACTCCTTTCGCAGCTGCTGCATTTCTGTTGAAGAAGAAGGGAGGAAGCGTCGAACTGGCGGACCCACTGCGGAATGTCAGAACACGGCCATCGCACCTCAACCAGTCGGCAGCAAGGGATACGCGATCTGCTCAGGGTTTGTCTCCGCACTGTTGCGACCAACCAACGGGCTGGACTGTCAGACACAGCTGTCCTCTGCAAGAAGCAAGAAAGGCGGAGGAATAAGAGTAGAAAAGGGAGAAGCACAGGCCAGAAAGCAGAAAGCATGAGGACGAACAAAAATTCAAATAAAGGGAAGCTAAGAGACATAGTGCAGGAGGGGGGCGGAGGACAAGCAGAGAAAGGAGAAAGGCTCTGTTGACTCGCAGCGGTGGAGCTGCGACGCCTGGACACATACTGCAGACATGGGCGCCCACGCATCACAGCTCCGCCGCAGAGCGAGGACATCGCTCACCAAAGGCGCGATGCCCAATAAGGCTCCAAGAGCGGCAGGGGGGAGCCGCAACAGTTCGCTTTGATGCGCGGGTGCGCCACGGTATGGGAACGGAGGACAGCACAACCCACCCCCATCCCCGGCCAGGACCCCCACTCCCGACCTGGTGATCCAAGGGGTCCTGGCTGGGGGTCAGGGTGGGGCTTTGTGGCCCCCGAGAACCCCAATTAAACCACCCCAACCCCCAGCCAGGACCCCCTGGATCACCAGGTCGGGAGTGGGGGTCCTGGCCGGGGGTGGGGGAGGAGGAGGAGGAGGAGGAGGAGGAGGAGGAGAAGGAGGAGGAGGAGGAAGAGGAGGAGGAGAAGGAGGAAGAGCAAGAGGGAGAGGAGGAGTGGGTGGTGCTGTCCTCAGGAACGGGGCGTGCCCGGCCCGGTCGCGCCCCCAGTGCCAGAACCTGGGCCACTCTCGAACAGGGGAGGGGCAAACCGAGAGCGCTGTGGGGTCGAAAGCTGATCGATGATCGAAACTCACCCAGCTTGGGCGGGCGGCGTGGGGACTGGTCATCTTCGGGCGGTGTCTACACGCGCCCCAGAGAAAGGAAAAAAAGATGTTCGGTCTCCGCCTTCGTCCGAAGCCCCCCTTCAGAAACTTAGCCCCCACCCCTCCAAGACACCAAGCTGGCCGAATTCTCGAACGAAGCCAGGCTATGGCGACGAAGGACGCCCGCGGCGACCGAATCTGCGCGAATTCTGGGATATGGAATTACTCAGCGGAGCGAAGCCCTTAGGCGGAGCGGGGCCTGACCACCACGATCTGGCAGCGCAGGTGGGCAGTGTGAGCGAACAGTCCCGCGCAGTGTCTCTGCGCAGGAGGCCCCTGAGGAGACTCCTGCGAGGCTCCTCGGAGGCCCTGAGGCGCTCCTCGACCGGGTGTGCGGTCGCCGCGCATCGACGGCGCAGGTGGACAGTGCAGGTCGGCGAGCAGACGCGGCGCTGCTGCGCCAAGTGGCAGCGACCACTGGGAGGCTTCTGAGGGGCCCCTGGGAGGCCCCTGGCTCAGGCGTTCGTCT